TATATATATATATATATATAAAATAACGATACCGGATTCTCTCGAGGTATATAGCATTTCCCGTCGTGCTTTCCTTTTACTTTGAAGAAAGAAAACGCATTAAAAATTTCTATATATACACACTCTTATATATACATATGCACATAACATAATATATATGTATATAAATTGTGCTATTCGCGACAATCGAGAAATCGCGGACGGGCGCGAGAGTCTGATTCTTTTTTTACCTCGAGAGAATTAATAATGCATCCCTTCTGGGATAAAAGTAATGACGTATCTATTTACTAAGCGTATCTTTTAATCGAAAACAATACATTGAGACATATCTTCTAATTAATTTAATGTAAGCGAGTCTAGAGGTATATAAATATTATACATATATACATAGCGAATACATATCAACAGAGAAATCACTCTTTTATCAGATGGTAGATAATATTTTGGTATATAAAGAAGAAAAAATGTTTAATATTCCCTCCAGATGTCAATTACGGTCCAAAGTAGGGCCTGGACCGAGGGCAAAATCCGAGGGAACTTGTGTGTTTTAGTGAACAATGGGGCATATCAGACTGGGGGGTCATGGCACGTCGCGAACATCCCTTTCTCTCTCTCTCTCTTTCTCTCGCTCTTTTTTTTCTCTTTCTATTTATCTCCGCCCCTCCGCTGCGTGCCTTGACTCTTTGACCCCAATTTCGAGTCGTAAGTCATAAGGTCAAATCTATTTCCCCCGAATGCGGCAGATCGGAGTTCCACCAATATCTGATATATACATATGTATGCCACATATCGAAGATGCGTTACTCATTATATTTTGAAATGATAAGAGATTATATTTTCCTCCTCCTCTCTCTCCCTCCCTTCTTCCCCGTTTGTTGTTTTATTATAATTTATGTTACAGATATTTAGCCACGAAGTATGGACGAAGCTGGTTTGTGCAATCAATTTGATGTTCTCTCACTGTTTTACTGTATCTGATAGATGTTCAAGCAAGTAATATTTTTCTTGATTGAATTAAATTAGCGATATTTTTATTAAAAATATGTTAAATTATATTTCATAATTTATTACATTTTATGACATATTAAATTTCATAACTATTTTAAAACGCATTTACTTTCATTCCTATACTAGACTTTTACAAATCTGCCATCTTGATTATAATCCTTTCAAATTTAAACAGCGACGCAACTGTATGGTTTCGGAAAAATTATCGATCCGTCCACAGTTTCGGTAACGAATGGTCGCTCAGTGTCCTTTGATATTATTATGACAAAAGAACAGAAGGACTGAGTGTAAATGGTCAGGCTGAAAATGACGTATCGCATAAGAGAGATTACATCGTAATTTTTGTGTATGGAAATTAATCGGTTTCAAAATTGCGTAACGTGGCAAAACAGAATTATAATAACAATTTTTATTAAATTTAATATTAAACAATAGCTTAATTAAATGATGAAACAGTTTTCGCACGTGTCTTTTAACTGCACCAAATTCAGCAGCAAATCTATTTTGCGTTGTATTCAAGTTCAATTTCCAGTTCAACAAATCTTTTGTACCTCGTGAAATTTATCAAAAGAAGAAATATGCAATAATTGAATTAATAGAATGTTCGTTTTATAGGAAAGTTTTTTTTTGCATAAATTTAAATCTACGCAAATGAATGCTGATGTGACAGCAGTTTTTATGAAAATATTTCACCTGACTATTATGCGCGCGATAGCATGGTCAATTAATTGACTAACGAAGATACTTTTTACTTTTTTCTAAATATACATTTACGCGTTGTTTCGTTGCTCTCGTTGCCCATTTACGTTGCGTTATATTGTTGTTGTAATATGCGTATGTATATCGCTAAGTAAACGTTAAGTTAATCAATAAATCGAAGTGATTATATAGGAGAGACGCATGTAATCTTCAACCTTGTCATTTCAAACTGATGGTACGCACGCATATGTATGCATATACACGATCTATATGTAGAAAAAGAAAAAAAGAAGATATTGACCACTTTAATTATCAGAGATTTCAACGATGTGATAATGTATTAAAATAACACGCACCGTCGTATTGTCTGTATATGTTATCTTTCGACTTCTGATTGTTCTACTGCCAAAGTCTCTTATTATACGTCAAGTTACACGGCAATTTGCGACATTCTGCTGTAAGTAATCATCCGCTTCTTAAGATTTTGTATTGCTTCTCTATTCGATTGAACGCCAGGCGCACTTGGAAATAATTTTGTCGCAATAATTATAATTGTTAAATAAAGCGAGAACGCTTCTTTTCAATTTTAATTAATTCTAATATCTCCAATTATGCATCATGCGACACGATTTCACTCGTTAATCGTGCATGCGAGCGTGAGCGTATATACATTGTAATTGCTCGATAAACAACATGATTAGTTACGAATCTGTAGACTCTACCTGCATTATCACAATTTCAGAAGATTGCTTTTTATTGTGTCTCACCCTTTGCATTTGTTTGTGCTATTTTACTGGCGACGTGATGCGATATTCTGATCTACAGCTTTTCATTCGACAGAAATACTATGTCCGTTAGAAACAAGAATTGAATGAATCTCGCTACTTCGGATTGCGTGCTAAAAAAATATTGAACATCGTGATATTACTTCAAACAGCTTGTTTTTTGAATCGTTTAAACAATAAAATATTACGGAAAGACTTCTGAAAAGAATTATCTATTTATTTTCATATCCATATTTATGCTACATCAATGTCACAGAAGGTATCGCTTGAATATATATAATATCTATCCTTTTTATGTACAAGTAGAAGTTGATAATGAAATGAATTTTTCGTCAGTCGGTTTCACTAATTCGTATTTTTCGGTGACTCCACCAAGATTGTTTAATTCTCTGACCAAACTCCATATATTGACTTTACTTGAGACTATCAGTTTTCGTTGATCCTTGCCTTGGCTACGTGATTTAAGACCCATTGTTCGCGCAACTCTGAAAGATTGAAATATGTTACCTTCAAGGACATTTCTTACAAATGTTATGTAATTTTTAAGCGACATACTGATGAATCACAATTCTGTCTTCTTTAGGGAAATCCAGAAACACAATGTCTTTTCGCGAATAATTATCCGTTTGTAAGAGATCTTTAAATAATTTTCGACATTTAGTTTTTATTTCTTGTTCCGTATAAGAATTCTTTTTCAGACCAAGACCTTCTCGATTTATTTGCGTCTTAACCCTAAAAATAAAAAAATGAAAATTTATAAACAAAAGGAATAAAAGAATAAGATTTTTTTTAGAAATAAAGGAACAATGTCATTTCTCACTAACATGGCAGACATGGGTTCCACAATACCCTGTTCAGATTTTCCAAGACCACCGCCGGTCCAGCCCATCATTTTCATCATATTTTTCCCAATACAATTAGATACTTTCCAATTGTCCTCAGATTGAGATTCCTGAGACTTTAATTCTTCTGTCGTTACAGTTATTTTTGTACCTATGTCTCCTTTAACCTAAATTTTACAATGTACGTACATATAAAAATGTTTTTTAAAAAAGATACGAAAATTGTATTTCTCTCTCATTCTTTTTCTCTCATGCAAAAATGATAAAAAACATTACATGTTTTGCTACAATTCATTATAAAATAACATAAATATCAATGCTAAGGGGATTCAAGATGTTCCTATCTCTTTAAATTAAAGACATTTAATTTTCTTTTACCTTAACCGTATAACAGTGTTTTTGTAATTTTTCTAATGCAATAATAGCTGCTTTTTGTCTGGCTACTTTCTTATTGATATCAGTGCTACAACTCAATTTTTGTGAGTCAAAAATAATAGAGCATTCCCTGAAAAGAGTTGATAATGAGAAATCTTCTATGATAATTTTTACAACTGTTAATTTAATTTTTGCAACTGTATCTATAAATACAACTATATATTTATGAATTTATATTACATGCATACGCGCAAACACTTACGCGCGTGCGCACGTACATATGTGCACATAAATAAATGTGCGCGCGCGCGCGCGCGCGCGTGTGTGTGTTTGTGTGTGTGTGTGTAGAAACAAAATAATGTTCTCTTTAAAATATAATACAAAAATATGCTCACCAGCCTTCTTCTATCTTAGAGTACTTCCAACGCATAGCGATACCAGATACTCCAGCTGACATTTCTAATATATTTAGTACATTATCGTTAGTACCTGGTTTTTCCCATAGAACAATGTCTTCGTATGGATGATTTTGAGCTTTAACTAAGACATTTTTCTCTGTTTTTATTTTTTTAAATGGTCCTTCTTTGATATCAAGATTTTCACAAGACTGATAATTGTAATTCAGTATACTGGATATAGATTCTTTTTTAATATTAGGAAGCAATTTCATTTCAGTATCAAGCTTTTTATTTTTTTTAGAACGTTTTTTATTTTTTTTACGAGATTGGTCAGTATGATTAGCTGTGTTCGATATAGGATTAGGCATACTCGGTATAGATTCTTCTGTGACAGTGGATGTTTTAGCAGCGCATCCTTCAAATATAATATCAATATAATTATCCAGAGAGATGGCAAATAATACTTTACTTACCATCCCTGTAATTATTACATTTAATAACAGACATATATGGTGTATAATAAAATACGAAAAAAAAGAAAAAAAATTATTAAGTCACAACTCACAATTTTTCTTTATACCTTTCACCTTAGAACTAGCTGCCTCTGATGCTTCCACAAATGTTCTTTGTAACTTTTTCTTTTGCTTTTCTCTATATTCGGCTGCAACATCTTGCGATAATTCTTTGACTAAATCCATTGTTTCTTGTGGATATCTATAAGGAATTTATACAAACATATGTATAGCTGGGAAAATATGATATATATGAGAATGATTGTAAATGCCAAGTCAATCTTGATCGGCACCACATATATATCATTTCATAAAAAGAGATTAATTAAAGAAAGTTAAAAAGATTATAGATTTTAGGACTATATTAAGTCTAAGAACCTGAAGGAAAAGGTTAAACAGTTTCATAAGACCTAGTATCATGGACTAATACTGACAACACCTGAACAGAAATCACAGTGACACTTTTCTGATCTAAGTAATATTTATATAGCTATAGTAGCAACAATAGTGAAAGTAGATACGACTATATCAATAGATAGAGCTACACCTGCTTCCATTACTGCAATTACTATGCTTGCTTTTAAATTTATGACACTTGTCTCCCAAGTTCTATTTCAAGTACAATGAGTATATACTGACTATACATGAGTTTAACCACAAAAATCAAACTCATAGGATGATTTCCAGCAATATAGATGACACAGTGTATAACACAGTATATAATTCTGTGCTTTCCAATTGTGTTACAAGTCAACATATATGTATACAGTTAAAATGCGATGCGGTTCGATTGTGTTGCCGTTTTATATTATTTTATAAATACAAATTTTTACATTACCATTTATTTTTCTAAGAACCGATAAAATTTTGAGATTGTATCCAGATATATTCAGATATAGATATACAAGATCTTTTCTTTATTTTATTCTGGAGGTGAAATAAAAAAAGCTAAGCAATATTTCATCAACAAAATGATACAGTAATACTGCCACAGCGTACGACTGTTCTATCATCCACTGATGTAAAGAAAAGCATTCTAATATATATGTAAAGGCAAGAACAACATGTATCTGTCAGATCATTACCTGCATCCTAACAGTTCGACATTGACGAACACTTGGGCTAAACAAACGAGTATATCTTCGGGGAATTTATGTTTGTGGGTCAGCAGAAATTTACGCCGTAACTCCCAGTGCTCGTCAGACTCGTATTCCACTTTATGTTGTTCCACGTCCCAATCATCAGACATACTCATTCTTGTCTTAAATTCTCACCTTATAAATATTAATAAATGTCTTTGGTAAACAAACACGATTTTAAAGATAATTCAGTTCAGAGACAGTAATTAATCTCTATCTTACTTTTTCCACCGTAGGTTAGAACATATTTGTTGATATTTTGTGTAACCAAAAATACAGAATAATCTTCTTTTAGATCGGAAACGCACGAGAAACTTCGTGTCCACCAAACACGTGGCGACGCCTAGAACAAACACGATTCGTGCGATAACCAATCATTGTTTTGCTTTTTTGAAAATAGTGGGATATGGCGAAACATGATTGGTTGTCACGCGATAACCAAGATCAAGATGCGATATTACTTTTTAATGTCAAGTGCGATATGAACTTTATGTAGTTATGATCGTTGCGGATACTATCTAGAAGCCTTTAAGTTGGGACGTCAAACTGTCACGTTGTAACACGAGGATTAGCGAATATCGAGAGCAAGAGTTAGAGTTTTCCTGCGATGACAGTTGCCGATTAATCGTCAAGCGAGAGAAGGGTATAAATATAATTATGTCTAACAATAATATCACTTTACCGAAAGCTCCTAAGGACTTGTGCTTCTCCGAACTCGATTTCGTACAGGTTCGTACGAAATCTCTTATTGCCACGTTTACATATATTTACGAAATATAAACTTAATATTCTCTCCCGTTATATTTGACGTCGTAGGAAAATTTCGATGTCGACACATTTCTGCAAGATCACAGGAAGAATGGCAAACTGGAGACAATGCGGGATGATCTTGGCATGTATTTGAAATTATTAAGATCGGCAATGATTGACCTAATTAACAGGGATTATACGGATTTCGTGAATCTGTCTAGCAATTTAATCGGGCTAGATAACGCCATCAATGATTTACAAACACCGCTTGGACAGCTGAAGGAAGAAGTTATGGTAAAAATGAAAAAGTACAATTACAATTCTGTCCAATATTGTTAAAGTTTTAATCATTTTAGAATTAAATTGACATCAGAAATCTCTATTTTACATAGTTGTGTTATCTATTTGGATTCTAGTGACAGAATTTTGTTTTGACAGCAAGTGCGACAAGCTCTGGATGATGAAATAACAGCTATTTCTGGCAATTTAAATGATAATCTGAAGATAAGAGAACGCAAGCAAAGTTTGCACAGTTTACAACATGTGTACAAGTCGCTGAGGAAGCTTTCTTCCATATTATGCATGAAAACATTTATGGAAAATCCCACAAAAATCGATGTTCTGGAGCAGGCTGCAATTGAATTGAATCAATTAAAATTCCATATGTCTAGGTGTAAATCGGATATTTCAGTTGATCAAGAAAAGGTAGAATTTTTAGAAACAAAATGATACTGTGTTTATAGCCAAATAAAAAAAATAATAGTCAACTTATAAACTAAAACGATTATTTCTCAACAGGAAACCATAGAATTGGAAAATTTATATGTAACATGTCTGAATGAATTATTCTTGGCATGTATACATGAGAAGAATTCCAGTTTGACAATTCGTTGCCTTAGAATTTATCTTATGCTTGACAAAATAACAAATGCAGAAGAATTAGTTAGACACGAACTTGTAAGGCCATTAATTTATAATGTAGTTAACGAAGATAATCTTCAAACTGATCCACTTGGCCTGCAAAGCATTTATCATAGGTTACTGAATATTCTAAATGTAGAGTTGAAACAGTTGTTAGATATCACATTACATCCTGAGAGGTATTTACAAGTTACATTTGGTTATACATATAATTTACACATTTATAAATACTCCAATTATTATATTGATAATAAGAACAATAAGAAAATTATATTGATGTTGCAGAATGTCTGTGAAAGGATTTAATTTTTTGGTGAATAGCTTTTGGGTTGAGATCGAAGAAAAAATTGAGCAATATATAAAATCCATTTTTGCTCCGGGAGATCCGGTACTATTTCATAAAGTAAGTGAAGTATTAAAAAATGTGCAATCAATACCCAGATAGAAATATATAATTATCACATTTTCAGAGATATACAGCTACGTTAGAGTTTTTAACAAAGTTAGAAATAGAATGCATTACGCCCGAAATTTTGGCAGCACTGAGAAATCATCCACAATACAAGAATTTTCTCAAGAAATGGAATTTGCCAGTGTACTTTCAAATTCGATTTCAAGAGATAGCCGGCACCGTAGAGGCAGTGTTAGCTGAGCCAATATCGCCAGATTCAGTTAAAGCTAATTTAATATCTCTAACGCAAAAAGAGTTCTCGCTTCATGCAACCGATGTGGTCTGGGATAATTTGCTTAGGATTTGGACTGATGACATCTATTTATATCAACTATTTCACAGGTAAAAGCAACCACTTTATAATTCTCTGAATCATTTTCATTTCAATCTTAATCTCCTCGTGATTAAAACTAATGCAACTAATGATTAATACTATTATCAGATTCTGGAAACTCAGTCTTCAAATAAGCTCGAGATATCAAACTTGGTGTCAGAGTGCAATGAAACAAGTACGTTTTCACATTCAACTTATATATGTGTGCATGCGTGCGCGTATGTGTAAGATATATACATAAATTAGATTAAATCTATGTATATATAGAAAGTATAACAATTTTTATATTTAAAGATATGGCCAGTGATAAACAAAACTAATAATTCAAATGATTCGGAACGCTCTACGAGAGTGAACTTTCTAGTGTATTTGTATATTGATATAGAAAAATTGATAAATGCTTTACCATCTTTCTTACAAATGGTACAGTCAAAAATTAAAGACGAGACTGTTACAATATCGAAATTACTAGAAGGTAATATATATGAAGAACTATAAATATATAATTATTTTAAAGAATTAAGATTTAATTTATTAATTCTTGTATTTTAGACTCTCTAGGTGAAACATCGAACAGTCTATCCAATCTTTTGCCTTTAGTTACGAAAGAAATCGTGAATGAGCTCTCAGAGCAATGTGTAACATACTTGAAACAAGTTAGCGACATTCCTCGATTGTTTAGAAGAACAAAGCGAGATGTGCCGACTAAACCTTGCCCTTATGTAAAGAGCGCAATGATTCCTCTTACAAATTTTTATACAGAGTATAACAAGGTCATTCCCGAAAGTATTATTCTTTGGTTAGAACTAACTTTATCCTCGTTAACAGAAAGGTAAATTAATATTTTCTTTTTATTTATTCTTTATTATTTCTTCAATAATATTGTTATATAAAAATCTGAAAACGTTTTCAAAATTACTTCAAATTAATTATGGATATAGTAAGAATATTGAAATTTATTTTAGTTATTTACTATTCGTTACGGATGTGTTAACGTTTGTACAAAAAACTGAGGAGAGTTTGAGGAGATTGAAAAAGATTCGTGACAAATCCACTGAAATTCTTCCTTCGGAACCACAGGGAATCAGCGATGACGAAAAAATACGTATTCAACTTAAAGTAGATGTGAATAGTTACACAAATATGGTAAGAAAATATTATGCATTTCAAAAATATATTTTCTAATTATTTAAATTTTTTAGGTTAAAGATCTTAATATTTCAACTGATAACATACATCATCTGCAGGAATTGATAGATGCTGTAGAAGCGGCTGTTAAAAAATGAAATTTGCCAGCAATAATTGTTTATTAAATTATATAAAATGTACAGTTCAAGAATAACTTAAATACGTCGTCAATTAGCAAGTTATTAGTCACTGTAAAAGTTTTAAAAGTAAGAAACATCTCTAATTCGAATTGTTGCAATCAAATTGGTACATCAACCAAATTATTATTTATAATCATATATAATGATTTTATTTTGATGTACATATACTTTATACGACATAATAATGTACATAAAACATTTTTGCACAAAATTTACACTGTCTATTATTTCGATATTGTTTATATTTTATTTTCTTAATCATAATTATAACTTTGAAATCATTCATGAATTGACGAAAAAAAAAAGAGGTATTAATTCGAACAACTTTACATTTGTTACGCGTTGATATATTTGTCTTATAAAATTTAAAGGCTTCTCTATTTCTCCAATACACAAAATATAAGAACAATCTTATAATAAATTTTAGATTTCCCACGAGTCGTTTTGCGGCAATTCGATCGTATAACCCACATCCTGGTGAGGATAAGCGGGATCCCACCAATTCAAAATACTATATCCGATAACATTACGAAGTATTATTTGATTTGTTAACGTACTAGGAACATCGGACGTTCCGAATCCAAGTTGAAGTCGGTATTCTCTGAAGCCGGGCATTAAGTTTATAGATACTGTTTGCAGGACCAATCCGATCACCGGTGGTAACATACTATACTTTAAGCAACTCACCTACACATAAATTATTAAATATATTAAAATATATTATACACATACACATGCACGCATGCACACACGCACGCACACACACACACACACACAAAAATAAAATGAATGTAATGTATGAATTGAATTTCTTTGAGAAACTATGAACAAGTTCTACATTACAAACCCTAAGCACTTTGCAACCGTCTTCGGGATTAACAGCTACATCTTCCAATGTTTCGAGAAATTCCGTTTTTTTAACATCACACTGTTTATTTTGCTTCAACAGGCTGTTACGTATTTTGGAAACTTCCTTCAACTTAAAATAGAAATACCACCGTACTTTCCCTTCCTAGGACACACCACAATGTCGTTATATATTATCATGTAACGTGAAATAAAAAACGACAAATTCAATACAATTACATAATTACTGTTAAAGATATACGAAAGAACAGCTACACATTTACTTGAGCTTAGAGCTTAAATGTGGACAAAGAGTTATTCGCAATTTACTTTATGCCACATGAGAATGCATTTTCTTTTCACAAGAGAATGCGGTTCCTCCTGTCGTAAGTAAGACATATCATCTCCTTCTCCTTCTGATGTTCTAAAATAATTGTAATGTAATGCCCTGATAACGCAAGCTCTTAGTCCATATAACCTCTGACATTGTGGTTGCAAGCGCTCTGGTAAAGATGGTACGAATTTGTAATATCTAAAATTACAATCTGATTTTACAAATAATTCTATAATCACGCAACTGCATCATATTTATCATATTAACAGATATGTTACATTTTAGCGCTATTAATCCATTAAAAAAATATCAATATAATTTGGAAAGAATTTTTATCTTTAAATTTATAGATTTTAAATTATATACCATTATCAATATAATAAAGTACTTACGACTTGTATAAATGAAACCAAAATTTTCCAGTAGTAGTTACGTAATAAGAACTTTTGCAAATCCTTGCAAATTTTCCTACTGCTTCAGGTTGTATGTATTCTGAGATAATAAACCATATATCTGATGGGTAATCAATTCCTAGTCAACAAACATAATAAATTTTTGTAATATTTCTTCATATATGATACTTTATATGTTTATGATTTTTATCATTGTAAATATTTGTTTAATTAAAATATATTTCCATTTACCTTCATCTTCATCATTATTATTTTGACATTTCGATCTTCTTCTATTCCTCCTTCCTTTCGTATCTTTTAATAAGTTCTCTTCATCCGTGTCACCCCATATTAATTCCTCTTCTTGTTTTGTTACTTCCTGTTTCACTGAATAACATTTAAATAACAGAATTAACAATATCTTGTGCAATACCAATTGTAATATCAGAAAAATAGAAATACGCAAATATTGAGGATTACTTTAAACAACAAATTATCATATTTACACTTTAACAATAAAAAATTTTAAAAAATATTATAATTTATTTTCTAACCTTCATTAGAGACATTTCTAACCGATTTCTTGAACTTTGTAGGTATCCGTAAAGCATTAGCGGAGTCATCAATGGTCATATCTGCTGTAAAATAAAAAAGTGTGTCAAATGAGTCTAATTTTATCAAAATTGGGATTAAATTGAGTATTTACCATATCAAAATAATTATATACAAGATAGAAATATTTTTTAATTCATAAAAAAATCCACTATTTTAAATATATTATATTAATTCAGTTCTCTTGTTATTCTACATTTATTAAAAAAGGAATTAACATTTATATATAACTTACGTTATTTCAAATTAAAAAATTTAAGCTCAAATAGAGACTATATATTTATGTAACTTTTCATAGATATATATTGACAGAACCTTTATTCTTCTTTACTTTAGATAAATTT